CTATCCAAGAATTAGAAAAGCTTTTACTTTTTGACTTTGTTGATGATGTTCGTGTGGTAGAAATATGCGGGATGGGAGGAATAGGGAAAACAACTCGTGATAGATTGGGTTTTTCTCGAAAATAATGTTTGCAAGCTATTTGAGAAAAGTTCAGAATCATTTTTTTTGTTTTTTTCCAGGGTTAGTTTAGAGGAGGTTTAAAATCCCCGCAATTTAAACGTTTTCATATGTGACATTGCCATGTCAACTTCCATTAATGAAAGTTAATGGCAGGAATCAAAATTGTGGATGGATAAATTCCCGATGACCGTTATTCGAAGAAAAATTTAGAGGGACCAAAATTGCAGGATCGCATATTTATAGGGACCTCAGATATATTTAACCCTTTTAAATATTAAACTTGATAAAAAATAGTTAAACTAAAACTAAAAGAAAAAAAAACAAAAAGAAATAGAAGAATAAAGGAAATAAGTGGTAAAAATAGGGATGGTGGTCAAGGGATGTTAAACCTCTAATCTTGAGGTTCACAACTCTAAACATTAACCACTGGGCCATGTGCTGCATGGTGATAAACAAACACAATCATTTGATAAAATATGAAACAAGGTTCTAAGTACATAAGACAAAAAATAAACAAAAAAATGTACCATTAAGGGGATCGAACCTAGGCCCTTATGCTTGCTTCAAGCAAAACCAACGTGTTACCACTGGGGCACAATACCAATTCATTTGAAACTGAAATTTTGTGCCACCTGAACTTTATCTCCAACCTCAAGATACATCCATGGTTCAAATTCGTGATTTCTCATTTCTTCATCAAAAATGGCAAACTAATATATCAAATTGCTTTGAATTTCACAAGGATTTCAAATATGGCAAAAACGTTTATTTATTCAAACTGTAACTCATGAATTTTGGCAAAAACCAGAGAAACCTAATTTTTTCAAAGTTAAATTAAATGTTATACATTATCAACCAATGTCCATTTTCATGGGGCTTTCACTCATGGCATTCCAACAAACAGAACAGTATCAAACAATGCTTTAAATAATGATTGTATGATAGAGTTTCAAGTCAGAAATTTTTACCTGTTAGAGTAAGATCCAACGCCTATTTCAAGCACTTTCAATGGTGGGGAATGATATCTCTAGCTTGTCTGAACCTCAAGGAAGTTAATTCAATATTTAGTTTGCTTTGAAACTACCTCAAACTCTCTGACCAACTCCACTTGCAGTGATGAATGAGCACGTGTTGGGTGAGGTGATTAGATGGATTCAATAGACTTTTAATGCATACAGAAACTCACATATGGTGCATGGATGGTGTTTGTATGAGTAGCTTTCAAAGAACTTGAGAGAATTTAAAGTTTCAAAGAAATGGACTCTGAGCTCTAATGGAGTTTAAAAAATTCTCACTATGTGTTTTCTGGATTTTAGAGTGTTTGAGGGGTATTCAAGGTGTCAATGTGTGTTTTGCAATGAGACAACGTCCTCTATTTATAGGGAAAATTAAGGGGATGGGAACTAATTAGATTTTAAGTTTGGAAGTTATGGTTTGGTTGAATTTCAAGTTAGAGTTTCATGAATGGCATGGTTTCAATGCATAGCTTGAGTGGTTTATGAGACAATAGAGAGGCTTTAGGGTGTTGCTTATGAGTTTTTGGTAAAGTATGATCAGAGAAAACATAATATGGGCTCAATGCAAAAGTTTTGGAGAAAAGTCATGCTCTGTCAAAATGGCTAAGAGGCTTTTGGAAAAATGCTCCATGAATGGCATCTAACTTGGATAATGCATCAAACACTTGTGTAATGCACTTAGAACTTGTGTAAAACATTAATTATATTGAGATTTAGAAGTAACAAGGACCTATAATCAAAGATCTTTGGGATTGGATTTGGTTAGGCAAAGAATTTGAACCTCAAATATGATTTGTAAAATAACTTCACCATGGCTACTTCTCTTCTTCGAAACTTGGTAATCAAGAAGATAAATTTATGCTCTTGGGATCATTGGAAAAATGGTCTAATCCTATATAACTTTCATGTTGATTACTTTGCTTGAATCAGTTTGGATCAATAAGAAAAATGACCAACAAAATTGGACTTTTAAGCTGAAAAACACTTAGACAATTTCTAAGTATTTTGTATTTCAACAACTTTGAGATCTCAACTTTAACACTTCATATCTTCCAAATATTATGATATTATTAGTCAATTCTTTCCATAATATGGAAGTATGTTGGATCATATTTAAGTGCATCGCTTGGGCATGAAAAGTGATTGCTTGGATTGGAAGTTATAAGCTTGAAAAGTCATGCACTTGAACATAAGTTTGTGGACTTAGAAATTTTTTCAATTTCTTCATCTTTGCCCCTTTTCAAGTTATCTCAGTTTTTGTGATTTAACTTGATCAAATTCAACTATCAACCATATTTTTATGATATTTTTCTTGAAAGGTCCATATTTGACCAAAAATCTTAGAAGTCAATGTTTGACTTTGAGCTGTTGACTTTTTCAAATGAATTCAAATATTCAAACCTTAATGAAATATTGTGATCATGATGCAAACTTAAATACATTAAGACATCTTGAGATTATGAAATGGTTATAATGACGACCTCTTGAGTGATGTACTTTGGAGCTCAACCTTCAAAAACCCTAATTCCTGATTTTTTAACTAATGGTGCAAAACTTGAATTCTCTTCAAGCACTTGATGAATCCATGATAAAACCCTAATGTGATGAGATTGTGATGAAGATGATGATCCCTTTAAATTGGGAAAACCCAAAACACAATTACTATATGATTCAAACTCTCTTATGATCAATGACAATGACACATTTAAAGGCTAACTTGTGTGAGATAGATAGATGAATTAAATGATATGTATGATTTATTGAAGCCATATGACTTATATAATGTGGGATCTTAGGTCAAAAATTAGGGTACAACAATTATCAAAAAGATCTTAATGCATGCTAGAGTCAGTTTAGAATGATAGAAATGCATCACAAGCTCCTTAAAATTTGGTATGAAATTTAAATCAAGGTCTTAAAAAGAGATGGTATTTGGGTATATGTTCTTAATGCTTTTGTTGAGCAAGCTCTTCAATCTACTCAAGATCATCCAGATCCTTAACTACTAGAGCAAGCAAATCTGATAAAAACCAACAATTTTATTATAACTATGTACTTATATTGAATTATTTATTAATAATAATAAGATATTTATTAATTATGTTTGTTTTACTAAAGTAATAAAGTCCCTATAATAGCTAGCCTGTTTGATGAAGTATTAATTGTGAGGCCTCATTAAACATAAGTCATTGTTCTCAAAGTATTTGTAGGCAAGCTTTATTGTGAAATGAGATAATATTAAAAACATTGATACTATTATATGGATAGACGAATGATCACATCTCACAGATCATGGATAAAGAGTTATCATTCTTCACACAACACACACACACACACACACACACACACACGCACACACGCACGCACACGCGCACGCACGCACACGCACACGCGCATGCACGCACACACACACACAACACACACACACGCACGCACGCGCGCGCGCACGCACACACACACACACACACACACACACACACACACACACACACACACACACACACACACACACACACACACACACACACACACACACACACACACACACACACACACACACACACACACACACACACACACACACACACACACACACACACACACACACATATATATATATATATATATATATATATATATATATATATATATATTAGGAGTGATATTTATATTGGATTAATCCACCATGAGAATACTAAATAGAATGTTATACAAGTGTTATAAGTTATTCTCAATGTGATAATGGTGTATACCTCCCTTTGACCTAAAACCACTATAAAAATTAGATGTGGATTCGAGTATTTTATCATTGTACAAACATTGTCTATAACAAGACGACTATAAAGATGGTTGATGGGTACTCCACAAATCATACTAAGGGGAATCAGTATCCTAGATGAAATTGGCCTGTCATGCATGATAAGACAAATGTCTAAGGATCCAATATTGAATTGGACAAGGATGACACACTTTATATATTGTGTTGTGTTCAATATGTACATGAGGGGAAATAGTAATTTTACACATAAACATATGTTTTGTCGGATCACATGACATTTTTATATGACTTGGGTAGTAGTGATTTTGATATATAGATTAAATATTAAATTAAAGTAGAGTTTGTTATTTTAATTTGTCATGTTTTCTAGAATATTCTTTGAACCTTAAAATGTTATCGGGTCTTTAGTTTACTATCCATTAGTATCATTATATATGTAGTGTCTTTGACACAAGAAGAATCATTATATATGTAGTGTCTTTGACACATGAAGAATCAGAAAATGAAATTAAATGTCTTTTATTATTTGTCCTTTTTTATCTTCTTGCTTTTAGTTTAGAATTTTACTACATTTTTTTATAGTTTGTTAGGGTTCTAGTATTTAGTTTTCTAACATTGGTGGTTTCATTAATGCACTCAATCTCCCTTCCATTGCATATTCTTATCACAATCATCCATTTTCTCCTACATAAACTCTCTCACATTATTCCTCTACAACATCCATTTCTGCTCCACCATCCTTAAATCCATATCATGCATATTATTATCCATCCTAAAATCCTCCATTTTCGACCTTCACTCCATACATCACATACAAACAACAACAACAAAAGATAGTTTATGCTCCACCTTAACCTCAAAATTTCTTTTCACAATCAGAAACACTTCACCAGTTAGAAACTCTAAAACAATATATAACTGAAACCTATGAAATCTCAAAAAAAATCTACAGAAGAGTTGAAAGACCATATCCAAAATTTTTGCCTTCCCCTTAGAGCATCACAACTTGCTTTCAAAGAAAGATCTCAAAATCTTTCTGATTTATTCAAAAAGTTACAAGAAAAGTTAAAAGAGAAATATGTTTTTTAGAGAACTACGGAAGAACAGACAGAAGAAACAGAAGGACTCAAAAAACTTTCTAATCTAAAGTCATCTTCGGCGAAAGATGGAGAAATGAAGGAAGAAGAAAATGAAGAAAGAGAGAGAAAGAAAAAAATGAAAAGAAAAAGAGAAGTAGAAAGAACGTGAGAGGAAGAAGGAAGAAAATGGAAAAAGAGAGATAAAAATAATGAAAAGAAAAGAAAAGAGTTTTTTTTTAATTTAAATTTCATATATATAAGCTGATGGTTTTATTTCCAGACTGCACTGTGCACCACTTATTTCGTTTCATCTATATCACTTGCCCATTGGTCTTATCCTCATTCAATCAACTTTTAGCAAACACACTTTTCGACTCTTTGTTAAACTTGCTCATGGTATTTCAAATACCACTCCAACGTTATTCCAAAATCCTACCACGTGAAAATGTCACAACAGGCCTTCAATTTCTCTCTCACATGTGAATCCAAATTTTCAATATATATATATATATATATATATATATATATATATATATATATATATATATATATATATATATATATATATATATATATATATATATATATATATATATACTGTTTCTTTCTGTGCAGGCATGATATCATTCTTTTGAGCTTGTAACTTTTGATACAAACTTGAACCACAACCTTGAGGACAAGATTATATTTGGACCGGATAGTAATAATAGAGTGTGAATTATAAATTAAATATTAAATTAAAGTAGAATTTATATTAGTTGTTATTGTAATTTGTAATGTTTTCTAGAAAAATCTTAGGACCTTAAAATGTTATTGGGCCTTTCATTTATTATCCATTAATATCATATTTTACGCATTTATTTTGTCTTTACATTTATTTAAAATGTTATGGGGTCTTTGACACATGAAGAATCAAGGAATGAAATCAAATGTCTTTTATTATTTTGTCTTTTTTTGTCTTATTGCTATTTGTTTAGAAAATTTACTGCATTTTTTATAGTTTGTTAGGCTTCTAGTATTTAGCTTCCTAACATATTTGTTTCTAAATAATGTTCATTGTTTAGCATATTAAATGTTTGATTTAGTTTAACTACCAACATCATGAGAACCTATATGGTCTCACACATAAAGACATATTGATGAGAGATAAAATGAACAAGTGAAGCATGTTCGATTGTAAGATCTTGTCAAGTACTACCGTTAATTAGAGAAACATAGTACACTGTAAGGTATAATGTACTTAGTTGAATTACGAATCATCGTAAGGTGTGACATACTTAAGTGAATTACAAAACGCTGTAAGATACAATATACTTAAATGGAGTATAAATATTATAAGGTGCAATGAATTTAAGTGGAATACAATGCACAGTAAAGTACAATACACTTAAGTGAAGATTGAGATTGAAGGAACTATGTTCTTGTGTACTGAATAGAGGTGTTATTGTGTGTTCATCACTCGTGATCATTCTATGATTTAATATCAATGATTAATTGCCACAAGATGTAACTATTCTATCACTAATCTTGGTCATTCATAAGGATCGATTTATAAGAAAATTTTGTTTTTCGTTGTGTATTTTAATTGTGGTTCCTTCATATAGGTGTCGGGAAAGAGTCTTATTGAAAAATCATATAATAGTTCTTACTGAAATAATACAAAGGATCCATAAAAAGTATTTGAGTTTAGACATTGTTATAAGTGTCATTCAGCAAGTAATATATTCCAGGTCTTTATTAGTTTTAATATAGTCACTAGTAAGAAAATCGTGTTATTGCACGAGTCCTGTCTAGATTTACATTACACGTATATTAAACATTCATTTATAAAACTTGAATTCATACTTCAATTAGTTAATATTAACATAATTATAAAATATAGATTAATAATATGCACCAACTTTTAAACATTGATCCGTACTTATAATATGTCGTACAGTCGATTTTGTAAAAGATGAACATTAAAATTAATAGTCTACAGTTGGTATCTCATATATACATTAACATCTACCCGTGAATCTATTTCATATATTCAGTTGATTAACAATTATAGAGTTACAATATATAATCATTTATCAAATTTGAATTTACCGTTTATAAAAATAATTGTAACTTATTTCCATTTATAAAAATAATTGTTCCAATAGGTAGACTTTTTCTCATTTATAAGCGCCTCAAACGGGTCCATTTATAAAAAATATTTGAAATTTATTCCTGTTTATAAAAATAATTGTATCAATAGTTGAATTTTTCTCATTTATAAAAGTAATTGTATTTATTCTTGTTTATAAAAAATATTGTAACTTATTTTCATTTGTAAAATTAATTATATCAATATGTACATTTTTTTCCGTTTATAAGTGTCTTGAATCCGTGTGACAATTTATAAAAATATTTTACCTTATTCATGTTAAAAACAATTGCATTGAATTTTTTCCATTTATAAAAATATTTGTAACTTATTTCTGTTTATAAAAATTATTGTAATTTATTTTTGTTTCTATAAATAATTATATCAATATGTAGAATTTTTCTCTTTTATAAGTGATTTGAACCTGTGTGTCTATTTATAAAAATATATGTAACTTATTCTCATTTATACAAATAATTTAATTTATTACGTTTATAAAATTTAACTTATTCAATTTATAAAAATGATCGTATCAATAAATTTTTACCTTTTATCATTAATTTTTTATGATTATCATTTATCATTAAATTTTTATGACTACCATTTAATATGTACGAGAAGGATCTTAAGGGATATAGTGATTTGTGACATCGGTGGAAGAATTAGGATAGTTATCTCCGTTATCCATGATTGAAGGCATGAAATAAGGGTTTGGAATCGAACAATTAAGAAAAAGGGAGAAATTGAGGGTGAAATCAGAAAAATCTTATGAAAAAATTGATTATTCTTGAGAAAAGGCGATCAATTTAGGAAAGTTTCAACGATTTTTTTATGAAACTGTGGAAAATTGCATTAATGTAATTTTGAGGGAAGATTGCATTGAATGTGAAATTGGTGATTTTTTATGATACTTTCATATATGAAACGGGGATGAATCATCTGCATTGTTTTATCTACTGCTGATGGCCCATCCAGACATCATCTTACCCATTATTCATTTATTTGTTTCTCACTTTTCAAAACAAACATATTTTTGATACATAAAATAAGTTGTTAATATAAAAGGACTAACAATTTGGCAAACTAACCAAATCTCACTAACTAAAAGAAGTTAACTTAGTCAGTTTAGTAAAGTCAACAAAAATGCTAATTGTTATCTAATAACCCACCTTAAATATTTGTGAGTTAAATAATTAAAAATAATCATTTTAAAGGACATTTATATATTAAAAAAATTGTTTGATCAAAACATTGTTGTGAACGTTGATCATGTATATTGTGAATTAATTCTTACTTGTATCACTACAAGCCTTTCTCCTTCTCTGTTTTCTCTATGATGACTACAAGTTTCTTAAGCTGAAAAAGAAAGTTACCTTATATGTACTTTATTATTATACTCACATGAGAACAATCTTTTAAAATCGAACTTGACATCAAATCAACAATACTTCAAAGCCATGTTTCAATTGTTTTAAATTGTTCTAACTAAAATAACTAAAATAAAAAATGTGATCATTCTGATAAAATTATAGAACTGCAAACCGTATCGTTTCATGTTTGATGGTTCAACCGTAAAAATCGTTGAACATAAAAAGTAGAAAATAAAAAAAAAATTATTGGATCGAGTAAAAGAGAGAATGTGAAACGGTGAAAGAATAAAGCAAGCAATTATATATCGTAAATTTATTATTATTTATAAAGTGATTTCAAGTCAAATTGTTATAAGCTAAAGACAAGTAAAACTTATCTAATCACATATGATCAGTAGTACATTACCTTCAAATTTAATCATCCATATGTTGAGGAAATTAGGCCATAATATGTGCTAACAATATTTCACAGCTCAAAAATTTCTAAATCAAGAGAGAGAGACAATTTGAGATTTAAACTATATGAAGAGAAAAGGTTATATAACGAGGGGTAATTTGGTTAGACCATTATCCTCTAACCCTAAGTTGAAGCCAAAAAGGCCTCAGTATGAATTTCAAACCGAGCCCCTCTTCTTCTGCTTCTTCTTTGTACATTTATTCTTCTACATGTTTTTCTTATTTCTTTCTCCATATAAACAACATTGATCCTTTGTAGAAAAGAGTTCAACTTTAAGAAGATTGCATTACCGAACATGCAACCGCTTGTGCCCAATGTCTTAACTTGGTCTTCACCTGTTCAGGATCATCACCTATATTCAACAAAAGTTACAAACTCACAATCCCATCAACATATATAAACAAAATTGTCTCATAGAGTGCCTAATGCGGTTATTATGTATCTATACAGTTGCAGTCAGATGCCGTTAAGCCATCTCAGTTGATAGCTGTGTCGCGATATTTGACTGCAGGGATGCGGATTTAAAACCGCGACATCCTATGTTAAAAAATGCAGTAAATGTACCTGGGCTACAAATCTTCCATGAATCAGCATCACTCCTAGGGCTTCCAAAGGAAGAAGAACGTGCCCCAAGAGAAGAAGCACGACTCTGAGGTGTAGAAACGGGGCTTGGCGACAAACCCCTATTAACAGCAAAATAAAGATCAAGAGCAGGCAATGTACTACACAATTTCTGACCATCTTCTTCATTGAATCCAAATCCAAGCTCAATGCATCCCTTAAGCTCATGCAAATCATCGTCCGTTATATCATCACAAACACATTCATGAGCAATACTACTCCTCCTTCTCTCTTGTCTCCTCTTTCTCTCCCAAGCCATGTCTCTTGGCTTCTCGCACATGGACAGCTGTTTCGATAGCCTCTTCCTATTGTTCCACGCCAACGGCGCCAAGTGCATGTGCTGCAACTCTTCCTCCGGTAACGGAGAAGATGAAGAAGATGACAATGACAATGTGTCACACTTTTTCTCTTCGTCGGTCATCGCTGTAAACAAATCTCTATCTTTATCAATTTAACAACAATAAGTTTAATGAAGATGGCCGAGGCAGCAAGCGGTGACCGCCGTGCGTGGCCTCGCCGCGGCACCGTTGAAGTGGCGGTGGGTGATGGAATATAAGAAAATGGAAAGAATGAAAGTGAGAGGAATCAGAAGAAAGGGGTATATGATGATTCTATTAATGGAGGGTTTAATGTTTGGTGTTTCGTATTATACCATACGTTTATAACCGGCAAAACCAAAATTTTAGGAGCAATATTTAGGAGTGCTATCTATGTATGCTTAGATATTGAAAGGTTCAACTATATTCGGGTAAAATATTATAATAACAAAAAAAAAAATTATAGTTAATTTGTTTTGTGTTTGTTAACTAGGGTATGATGTGTCATTGCATGATATTGTTTTTTTGTTTTTTGTTCTTGAAGTGTAAACTATGGTTTTGTAACTGTCACTAACTGATGTAACTGCTACTTGCATGCAAAAAAGAAGAAACAAGGGGTCCATATTTAGTAGGTAATAACGGCCATTACGGCTGATGGAATCCAAACTCAAGCGTCTAGTTAGGATTTATAAACGGAACTAGCAAGATCTCAGGCCAATATTATTCGCCAAGATTTTATACCAAATGAAAAATTAATTAATATTATATATATATATTTCATTTTGAATGAATGGTATATTGATCATTTTGAAAAATTATGTAATTTTGCTTATGTCAAAATTACTCCTTTAAATTTGTTTTAAATTTGTTTTGCCTCGACTAGAGCTGGAAATAAGTCGAACTCGTCTCAGTTCGTCTCGATTCATTAAGAATTGGTTCAGCTCAAATATCAATTTGAGTTTATTATCATTTTTTTTCCAACTCAAACTTGACTCGTTAGAAATTCATGAACTACTCAGTTCAACTCGTTAGGTTCATCTCGTTAGATTCAACTCATTTGTTTCACGAACTTAAAAATCATTTTTGAAGTCTATTTTTTCTATATACATTTGACATTTTAAATAAAAAATATAGAAATAAAATAAAAGTTATAAGATTAGAATTTATATGATATTGATTTTATTTGTATAATTATTTTTAAAAATATTTTGCTCACTTGAAAATATAAATTATAAATTAAAATTGTTAGATTAAAAGAAAATATATGGCTAAGATTGAGAGCAAATCTTTAAACCTACTCTTAAAAAACAACATAATCCATCTCATATATAATCGAGTTAACTCATGAACCTACCAAGTCGAACTATGTATAGTTTAAGTTCAGCTCATTTATTTAACGAACTTAATTTTTAACTCATATTCAACTCATTTGGTTCATGAACCTAGTTCAACAATTTAATTGACGAACCAAATTCCGAATTATTTTCGAGTTGGTTCGATTCATTACCAGCCCTAGCCCCGACCAAAGTCCTGAAGGACCAAAACTCAATCCATCTCAAATTCACTACAATTGATCTAAGGTATAAAAATCATTTCACGCACACGGAGAAAGATGCATTCTTTGATCTCCACTTTTCAATATACTCATCTTGAATCTTGATCTTACTTGAGCATTGAAGTGTTAACCATGCATGTCCATCCTGCACCAGCGCTTAAGATTATCAGTTCGTGATCAATTGCATCCATTTTTGTTTCTCGAACAAAACAATGGTGTCATTTATGGGAATCAACATCACATTCCTGATGATTTTCATCTTTAGGTCAATATTGATCTGAAATCAAATTTGTAGCCTTAACGGGAGAAGCGGAGACGCTAACTCCAGTAGTTATGTCTAAAATCTTTAATGCATCCCTTGATTTAATCGCTCGCCAGGTACCACTGATTGATGAATTATATGATATCACATCATCTAGCATATATCCTTCATCAAATCACTTTATACTTGTAACTAATGCGAACATTCAGTGAAGGAAAGATCGACTGGAATTAGGATTTCTAGATTGCAATAAGATCAATGGAATTCCAAACATTGATCTACCTCTAATTCTTGAGGTCACCATAGATGATCGCGATTTAATCGGATTCCTCATGGTCGAAAGAGTTCATGTACCATCCTCTACTCATATATGATGGATCTAATAGGAATCAAGCAAGAAAATTTGAATCCATATGAAGGAGGAGATCTATAGCATTCAACAACTCGATCACTCGCCCTCAAGAAGCTATGGATCTACAGGGACTGTTGGAGAATGAGCCTGCGAAAGAAAAGTAATCCTTAACTTTCTAATAATACAGTGTTGAAGTGACTTCAGAGGTATCCTAGTAAGATCCTTCCTAGCGAGACTATATGTGGTTATGGAACCTTGTTTTGCAGGTAATAGGTTTTTTTCACGATGACAACTGTGAAGAACAAAATAGATATTCAATATGATAAAGATGCAACATCATGAGAATTGTAAAAGATGAGAAAATATAACATTCAGCATAGTAAAGATGCAACCATTAAGAAAGTCAACCAATGTACTTAAGCGGTTAAAGATGCAAGCAATAAGGTTTGATAACTGCTATTTATGGTAATCAAATAATTGCTTACTCTTCCACATATTCAACAACCACTGAGGATGAAGTGAGGCTATGGCACTAGAAACTTGGACATCTTCATTTCAAAAGAATGAAGGAAGTCATATCTAAAGGAGCCATTAGAGATTTTCCAGAGCTCAAGATTGAATAAGTAAAGGCTTGTGATGAGTGTGAAAATACAAAGAAAATCATGATGTCACACCCAATTTTGGAACATCAGATGACTTCCAAAACTTTGGAACTTATTCATATGGATGTAATAAGACCATTACAGATAGACAACCTAGAAGGAAAAAGGTATATCTTTGTGGTTGTAGATGACTTCTCTGGATATACTTGGATGAACTTTATTAGAGAAAAATCAAATACTTTTGAAGTCTTCAAAAGTCTGTGTCAAAACATTCAAGAAAAGAATATGAGTGCAATTGTCAAAGTCAGAAGTGACAATGACAAGGAGTTTAAGAATGCAAAATTCTCTGAATTTTGTGATTCCGAAGGAATAAGCCATGAGTTCTTTTATTCCTGGGAAACTCAAGGAGATGGAATTGTTGAGAAAAATACTAGAGCAATACAAGAATCCGCTAGAATCATGCTTAGTGCTAAGCAATTGCCGTTTGAGTTTTGGGCTGAAGCTATGAATACTGCTTGCTATATTCATAACAGGGTTACTTTGAGAGGAGATACCACTACTACTCTCTGCGAGGTACGGAAACCTAAAGTTAAATACTTTCATATCTTTAGAAGTAAATGTATGATCTTTATTGACAAAGATCACATGGACAAGAAGGACCCCACAGGGGATGAAGGGATATTTCTGGGTTACTCTTCAAGTAGAAGAGCTTATAGAGTTTATAACTTTAGAACTAGAATGGCAATGGAATCTATCAATGTGAAAATTTATGATTCACTTACTGAAGAGAAGATGGATGTGAGTAACAATGTTGGAACATCTTATGTGCAAACTGATGAAGCACTAAGAGAGGAGATTTTTGAATTCACAAACACTGAGTCAGTGAATTCTCAATCCATCACAGGTCTATCTACTGAAAGACAGGAAGACCAAATCCGGGAACTGAATGTGAGTTACCTTAATAAAGGTAACATCAGTGAATTTAAACACATGATATCAAGTGCAGATGGATGGGTTGCCTTGAGGGAAACAAGATGAAGTTTCTCTGAACTGGTGTTGAAGAGATATGATGTCAAGAAAGATGTCATGACATTTTATATTGAAGATCTGAATTTGTTCATATATCTCATTCAACATGACTGGAACAAGGATCTTGGTAGTTGCAAGAAACTGATCAGGAATCTTATTGAAGGGGAGGATGATACTCAGGAGAATATGGACAACAAGGAACAACTTGTTGTTATAAAAAACATTAGGATTGGAACTTGTACTATTAAGGAGTTATATCAATTAGATAAATAGAGGAATGCAACTAATGCTGCATCTTTCCTCTATACTCTGTGGCATGACATGCTTGGACAAACTGCTATTGAGAAGGGATGGAAGGGAGGTAATCTTCAAAATAGTGGTGCTAGCTACACCATAAAGGAATTTAGAAGGCTCTTTGATAGGGGCATGAGGCTATTTGACAAAGGCAAGTGGTGGAAGACCACCTAAATCTGGCCAAGAAGTTGTGTTTCCATCTGCTTGTTTCCAACTGGTGCTCATGATTGGCTATTCTGATGTGTGTTTACATCTTTTATATTGCCTGAGTGCAATGTGTTATAATGTGCTATATTTTTCCACTGGGTGTACATTTACTCTATTTCTTTTTCTCAAAATTTTGGCTAAAAAGGGGGAGTAAAGTGTTGTGTCCTGATGTTGTGCCGCATGTATTAACATGTTAATTTAGCATTGTGATAGGATTATATGCTATTGCTTATGGAAGAGTATATGTTTGTGATTGCTTATGCAATTATTCAGGGGGGCATGATTGTTCATGCTTGGTTGTGCTAAATTTGTTGTTGTTGGTTCTGTTGTGTGTCCCACTACATGTGCTCTGGTGTGTAGGTTCTTTCCTTGATGTGGAGGACTGGTTATGTATGGTAGGGGGAGTAATAAACCTGTTGGATTATACAAGCTTCTAAGTTGTATGTTTACATGGTTTCATGTGACTTGTGTTTGTGGTTTTATTCCTCTCTCCAGGTTAATTGGCTTTTGGTTGTTTTAGCCAAAATTTGCCAAATGGGGAGATTGTTAGGTCTGTGATTTTATGGTTGGCAATAATTTTGGTAAAAAAAGGTGTTGGCAACAATTTGATCAAAACATGTTTCATTGGGAAAAACATGTTTTGCAGCCTAATGTTGAACAAGATGTCATAACATCTTCACCAACTAGTACAACAGTGTATGCAAGTACTTATTTGATAGATGTTCTATCAGATGTTGTAACATGTTGCAACATAACGTCATGACAGTACAACTGGATATTTATCCTTGAAGTTTTGATTGAAA